TATCACGTCGCTTCAGGGTTACGGTAGGACAATGAAAACGGATTTACTGATTTGCCTTAAAGAGTGATTTATGTTCATTCATATGCTGAATACAGCGTTCACCCATATTTAAGGCATTTTGCGCGATAGACAAGAAATTAACTAATTTTTCCTCTTCAGAAGATTTGTGAGTTTGATCTTGCCATCGTATACCTTTTTTTAAGTGAGGGCTTATTGCGCTGTGTAGGTAGTAGATGGTAGTAGTACATATCTACCGTAATACAGACAAGTTTCGTTTAAAATAGTTATGATTTTCATAATAAGCATATCCAACTTCTTTAAGTTAGCATTATAGCAATTTCAGACCTCTTACAATCGAGAAATCAAACTGCCGGTCAATCTATTCTCGGCCCTTTCAGCTTTCAATTTCAATCGCTTCAAGTTTAACAAAGCTGAAATCAGTGGACAAGCCAAGTATATTTTCTTGTAGAGTGGAACTTCTTCTTTTAGATTTGAAGTTTTATTGAAACTTTTGATTTCTAGGAAGATGTTTGAGTTTGAACCTGGCATAAGTTTGAGAAACAACCTAACAGTGGCAGAGAACTCAAACATCAGCCTTCGTCGAACTACCTTCTTGTTAGGACTCATTCGAGCCAATATTGAGTCTTGCGGAAAGCTCTGAACGTTGTTGTTTCTAAACGCATATGTCTGAGTTCAAGTGAACGGCTTGTAATCAACCGGAACCCTTGTAGCTTGCCTACTTTGTATATGCCGCTAGCTTACTTCCAGAGTTTTAGAGAAAAAAGGATCTTGGAGTCCATTTGACAAGAGTTTTGTTCCTAAATCATTTCATGTGCAGAAAGTTGTTGAGACGCTAGATATAATAGCTGTTGGTTGGCAGGAAGCCTGACCAACGTGGAGGAAATGCCAAGGCTTTGTAGCCTACATCATTCAGTCTCTACAGAGTCACATGTGAAATATTTGGTCTTTTGAAGTTATGCAATCCACTCTGCAAAAAGTGGATTTGTCCCGTCCTTGACTTTACCTTACCCACATTTATCGTCACACTTTTCATGATTCGGTATCATTCGGTTGTTAATATCGTTCATATTATGAGATTTGCCAATACATGAAATACACGATACTTGCTCATATGCTAACGGGCTTTAAGATTAAGGCGGGAATACATCATGATTAATGCCAACAGGTTTTGCATCGCTCTTGAGTATACAGATCCTAACGTTAGTCCCTTCTTCTTTTCTTCTTGTCTCCTGCAACATTCTTTTTTCATTTTCACGCCCTAATACAAGGTTAGGATGATTAATTCGTTTAAAGCTTTCTTGGGAACTAGTGGTAGAAGAGGACAAAGA